GATTTTTTTGTGTGCTGCAACGAATGACTATCTAGCAAATCAATTATTCTGTTTATTAATAATCAGACAGCTAAAGATTTGTTATAGATTTTTTACTAAATTAAACCAGGTAAAAGTAAAGCTTTTCCATTTGAGGTGTTCTGGATACAACAGTTCCTGTTTAAAGTTTAATTCAGTTTTAGATGATTAGACTTTTACATCGACCAGTAAGAAGGTTTTTCCATCCTGTAGTGTTGAGCTGAAGGAATGCTAGGATAGGAAGCATCCTGCTACCTCCTCTTAACTTCCACCCAGATCACAGACCTGACTTCCTGGAATCGGATCGAGCCGACCTGCCACAGAATTTCTCCTCATTGGGACCAAATCTGTTCTTTCGATTCCCACCCAGTTTCCCCAAAGTCTGCTGGGTCTACCCCTCGGTTCTGGTGGTCTAAAAAAGGACGGGAGCTCCAGCAGCTTTCCAACAGCTACAGGTTTAATATCAGAACAACAACAGTAGAAAAACAGGCTAACAGACAAAAAGAAGAGTAAGAAATCAGACATCATCCAACAGATCTCTTAAAATAATTCCTCTGTACAGTATTTACACACACACACACACACACACACACACACACACACATCGCGCTACATTTACACCCCGCCTCCTCAGCCGGTCTCTGGAGCTTCTCAGGGAGTCCGTCTCTCCAGGACGCAGCCAGGTGATCAATGGCGACAGATTCCAGAGCATCAAAACATGAAACAGTGAGGCGGCGGCGGGCCGGGCGGCGGCTCTGACCACCCGGCCCTGAGGGCCAGCAGACAATCCAGTGACGGTCCGCGCCGTCGGGTCAGCTGTACCACCCGGAACCAGCAGAAGCGTTTGGGTCCAGAGGCTGAAGAGGTCAAACATGATCTACGGGTGGAGGCCAGCCAACCTGTGGAGGCAGCAGACATCAAGGTCAGAGAGGGAGGAGCTTCTGGACAGGTCGCCCCCCCCCCTTCCCCGCTAACATCTAAACCATTGATCAGTCTTCAGCTCACAGATGGAGGAGATATTGACTATGGTGATGGTAAAGAACTCTTTCCTGTTTTTAATTCATTTAAACAAATAATTTAAGAATTGGTTGTTTTTTTGTGCTTTAAGGAGTTTGGAAAGAAATCGTTTCAGCGGTCCATTTCATGAAGCAGGTTTAACAAATCCAGGTTCAAATCCGTACCTCTAAATTGAAGTAAGCTAAAGTCGGGAACTCTGAGTGTTCGGTTTCACAACGGCTGCTATGAATTAGTTCCATCAATTTTAGCCAGGTCCACTCCGAGTTAAACGCGTACGCATCAAGTATGGAAAGCCATTATCATTGGAGCACCGATTCGATGAGTCACCATGACAACAGGCAACAGGAAGAGCCTATTTCACCTCACTGAAACAAGAGATTATAATGAAGAAATGAAAAAAAATTCTCTCTTCAATCTCTACTGGCTGGGACTTCCTATTTGGGCCTGTTCACTTCCTGTTTGGATTAAGTTAAGTTTAAAGTTCAGAATGGGAAGCAGATCTTTTAGTTATCAGGCTCCTCTCCTGTGGAACCAGCTACCAGTTTTAGTC